ACTAGAATGCTTCATCATAACCTTACTTAGAGATAAAGTGAATTAAATTGGACAATCTGGTGTCCAATTTGTAGCGCGTTAAAGATCTTTTTTCCTATCTTAATTTTGGAGGGTCTATCTAGAATGCTGACAGCATTAAAAAAAGGTTTTATTTGTCTTTAGAAATGGCGACTAACTTTTTTTGAATTGGCTACCCCTTTGAAAAATTTAGGAGCCAAGTGGCTATCAGGAAAAAAAATTAATTTCACGCCCTGCAGGAAGCTCATTTCCTGCCACACTGAACCTCCATTGGTTATTCTCAGGGTAAACTAGTCCCAATCCCCCAAATTTTGGCCAAGCAATTAATTTTACTTGAACAAGATTATGGAAACTACAAAAAAATGTCCTGAGTTAAACAAAGTCATAATTGTCATTTTTTGTTTATAGTTGTACTGTAAAAGAAAAATTTTCTGCCATAACATCCAAAACTGATTTTATTAAAGAATAATATCTGCCAAGAATTAGCAAGTGAAACTTTGTATTCCAGATGTTGAAATTTTCTGGTGTATAGTGAATATGTAATAGCATCTCAGCTATTGTATTATGTTGAACTCATGTTCAGATCACTGTTCTGTTTCTATTTTTGCATTGAAAAAAAATATTCAGATGTTTGGGGCATTAATGCTGTGACAAGTGTTGGAAATAATGTCCAAAAATTCATATTGTGTAACTCCATAAATTATCCATACCTCCCCCACAGAAGGGATTTATCCTAAGGACCCCCCCCCCCCCCCCTTAGAAATTCCAATTAAATGTAAGCTTCATACATTTCGTGAAAGTTTTGACCTTTGAGAACCCCTCATATTCTGTCATAAATCAGAAGTTCTAAGAATTCTTTCAATTTTTTTATTCAGAAATAACAGAAACTTTGGAGTGTCAAACAGTTGCAGAGATGACATCAAAGAAACCACAATATTTGATGCAACAAATATAATTCAAAATTCCTCTGAATGTGAAATACTTTTAAAATCTCTATATTTATGTTCTTTTAGACCAACATATCTATAATGCATACAGGGTCATGCAGTGTAGAAGCATTTGGTATTTTCTCGTGACAATTGCCATAAGGCAAGTGCATACATATTGTGGAGACAACAAAAAATTCCACCCAATGCTAACAATGGAAACATTTTACAAAGTTCAAGTCTTACATCAAAACACACTTTGTATGATATTCTGGGGCATGGAGATTCCAAGACAGGGCATGAAATTGCGCCCAATACAGGCACCAATGTGACTAAATTTTTCACTTTGGCAACCAAATCCTGAAAA